TTCCTCATTCTTTAGGCCCATTAATTTTCTTCGTAACTCCCGCTTTTCATTAATAATTTTCTCACTTCTGCGGCGTTTTTTGCCCAATTTCTCACAGCTCACGATTACGAATGTCATGTATGCATGAACTTGATTAATTCAACGTTATACCATAGGGCCACGTGTAATTTAGGATTTCAAGAAACATTTTGTTTTCATCAAAAGAAAAGCCGGTAGGAATGAGTGAAGTTGTGAAATTCGAGAAAACAATGTGTTTGTTCTACCAGTTGCACGTTACTTTTTGTCCCAATTGTATACATGTAATCTGTTACACTTAGTATTCTAATATCATCCTCTCTCATCCTCTCATGGCGGATCTGGAGCCAAAATTTCGGGGGGTTGATTTTTTTTCTATTTTTTTTTTCCGGGCCGAAAAATTTGGGAATAATTTCAGGTAACGTGTGTGGCCTTTCTTAGAGGTGGGGCTACATTTGGGTGCTTTTTAAACGCTATGGGAAGGAAAGGAAATACTTCAGACAAACACAATTTGACGTTATTCCAATTCTCCTGAGCTGGTATTTTAGGGGTCACATGGCACTACGGTTGAAATAATATTCCAACGGATCCACCCCTGCAGCTTTTTACTTTATCAATTGCCGTTTACGAATTGCCAAATTGTGTTGCAATTGCCTTTTGTGTGGATGATTTTTTTATGTGTCTTCCTGCGTGAAGGTGTTATAGCGATTCTACTCCTCATTTCTTCCTTGATTGCCTTCCACATCTCGTCCCTTCGATGTTCTGAGAGCCACACGCTAACCAGCCTACTCCTGTCCTACAAACGACACCAAGGGGAACGACTTACCACGCCCTTCAACTGGGCAAAGGCCAACCACGTGTGGAAACATCCACTAGAAACCCAGGAAGATCTGATTCGGGAACTGACCAGACGACATGCCAAGACGGAGTACGGGCGCAAGAACCGTCTTGGAGAAATCCAGTGCTTTGATGATCTTCGTAGGAAGCATCCCCTGACCACCTACGGTCACTTCAATGATTACATCGAGCGGCTAGCTGATGGGGAGGAAGGGGTCTTCCTTGACGAGAAGCCCTTACGATTTGGTGTCACTTCTGGAACCACTGGCATTGGGAAGAAAATACCGTACTCGAGCTTCTGGTTGGACGGGGATACCTGGGCATCACAAATCGCACATATGGCAATGTTTCGAGACATTCCCGCGCCAAGCCCAGTCCAGAAGCGCTGTTTCCTCTACACCCATCCCCAAATCTCACTTACCAAAACCGGTCTGGTTCTTTCTCCTTACGCCTACATCCATCATCGGGACACGTTGCGTTTATCTGATCTCAGCTCCCCTCCACCGGCTTTCACCATCACCCATGAGCCATCTGCGGTGTACGTTCACATGCTATTCGCGATAGCTGACCCTAATCTGGCTCTGCTGTCTGCCATGTTCACACCTCAACTGTACCGGGCTCTGAAGTCTCTGGAGATCAACTGGCGAGCGATGTTGGATGACTTATCTACCGGTCGAATCAATTGCAAGATCCCACTGGACCCCAATGTGCGTCAATCCCTCAAAGATTATCTTAGACCGGATTCGGCCCGTGTCTCCCAGCTGAATAGGGAATTCGAAAAGGGTTTTCATGGCATCGTGAAAAGAATCTGGCCCCATCTTGTGGCCATGGAGGGAGTTGATATCCTGGGTTTCCGGAAGAAGCTTGAAGAAACATACAGTTTTGGTAAGATGTTACATTTAAAGAGGCAGTCACAGTTTGTGTTCTCGAATATTCGATTCTGCCAAAGCATTATTAAAAAATGACTGCGGAATGAGTCAGACTTGGTTTATCAGCAGATGCCCTGTGAAAATGAGTTTTAATTAAGCTTTTGCAACCCATATAAATGAATTTGAAGCCATTCAGTGTCGAGTGCCAACCACAGAAATGACAGTCGAAAGCACGTTCCTGATTAATTAAAGAAGTAGTGCGTTTACATTGTTGAAATGCGCACGAAATCGGAACTGCAAAGCGACTTATCATCATCCATACGATGCGTGATATACCCCTCTATTGTGTCTTCTTTTGTGTTGATGGAATCATTGAAATCCCTATAAGATTTCTTGGAGGGTGTCATAAGCACAACAGCCTTAGGGTATACGGCTTGCGCATCACATTAGGGGGGTCCCCCTTTACCGCATATCGTGCAAGATATCAGGCGACCTGCGACCTGCTCCGAGCACAATGATTCATTCATTCTTGGGTTTGTCTTTGAAAGGTGTTCCTTGCGTCAGCTGGGGCTACGGCTGCACAGAGAGTGGAGTTATCTCGACCAACTTGTGGTTTCAGGAGAAAGAAACACGATATATTTTCTTGCCCGGCTCAGCAGTTTTAGAATTCATTCCAGAGGAGAACAAGTACGAAAGGCTGGATTATTCCCTCCTTGTTTGCATTTACTATAATCAAAGAAAAGCAACATTTTAAAGTACCTTAAACAGATCGAGATGATCCAAGTCATATTAATCAAACAGTCTCACATGTCCTTGTTGCTTTTTGTAGTTTGGAGGAAGATCCCAAGACTCTTCTGATTAATGAGGTGGTGGTTGGTGCAAGATATGAACTGGTAATGACCACGCGCACCGGACTCTACCGCTATCGAAATGGCGACATTATCCAGATTGTTGGATTTCACGATAACTGCCCAGCAATGCGCATGCTCTACAGGTAACCAGAAAAGTGTTCAGCAAAGGCAGTGAACCATCAGAATTTCAGACTTCAAAATGGCTGCACCAACTGCTAATTAAGAATGATTATTGACCTATGTAATTTAATTTAGAAAGTTTTCTTGTCCCTTTTTTACAGGACAGGGGAATATCTGAATTTGGTCTACGAGAAAATGAACACCCAAGTTGTTGACGTTGCCTTAAGAGCCACTGTTGGAAGCGATGGAATTCAGTTGGTGGACTGGACAGGCGCTGAGAGTCCCATTTACCATCCTGACAATTCGGGTACGGTGGAAAAAACACTTTGTCTTAGAAACCTACTGTCCGGATCGAAAAGTACAGTGGATGCCTACAGCATACTCAAAGAATACACAGGGAATCTTGAGCTGTGTAGAAACCTATGTCATTTTGTCTGATATTGTATTCATTTTTCTTTCTGGTAGAGCTGTACTACATTTTGTTTGTTGAGATCAATCCAGGCGAGGGGAAACTGAGTGTTACCCAAGAACAAAAGGCCAAGGTAATTGTGTCCAATTCTTTGTCACTGGCTTTATCTTCTCAGCGATTCATTGTAATCATAAAATATCAGGGAAAAAATTGTTTTTTATTTGTAGGTATTTTATGGTGTTACAGCTATATGTTTGTCTGAAAGTGGGGTTTCAAAGGTGAAATTATCAATTACTTTTTCGTTTAGTTTGACGAGTGTCTCCAGCAAGATCATTTTTACTACAAAGGCTTACGTGGCTCCAGCACCATCTCTCCAGCCCAGATTAAACTTGTCAGGCCGGGCACCTTCTCGGAGTTTCGGGACTTTAATCTGTCTCACACCACGGCTTCTATCAACCAGTACAAGACACCACGAAAGCTGAGAACACGAGAACGCATAGAGTGGATGATGGAACGGGTGATCGAGTCTGGTGCAAAATAAAATGCCAAGCAGTCCTCATAATGTATGCAATGAAAAACGAATGTTTTGCAAAGTTCTATACCCAAATAATGTATTGTCTGTTATGCTGGTACATGGTATCCAAAGGAAAGGTAATAGTCTTGACGTAGTTTGCACCTATGTCAGTTCTCATTCTAACTGTGTCTGCCAAATTAAAACTTCACAGAGCTTTCAGCACTGATTAATTAAAAATACATTGCCATTGGAACCATCTGTCTCTACAGATAGGCATGGGTTAATGTGCGGCCGGCTATTTGATAAACGTCCAATTAGAATTCATCCCGTGCTAAGTGGAAAGACATCAAACCACTGCTACTTCTTGTTTAAGAATATTTTGAATGTAACTTTTTTCATAGAACATGAAATGCAGAATATCGCACCACTTCATAATCCTTTGAGCAACCTCCAGAAATAAATTGTTTCTACCATTTTCTTAGAATTGGTATATTGTACTCACGATAAAATACACATTTTTCGAAACTCAGTGCTATTTCTTTATTAGTTAGAGTGCTTGAGTGTAATGTAAGTAGAAACATTTTTACCACTACTGGCTCATACTGTGACGTCATTGAAGCCCTCTCCCTTACAGCTACGGTGGAACCACATGAGAATAGTTGAGATAGGTTGATGTATTAGCCGATTAGTAGAGAGAACAGGAGTATGACGCGATCGCTAACTCACGTCGATCGAGACAGATTAACAAATTACTTGATTAGTTCAACAAAGTGAAAATCTGTAAGCCCAGAAGGATATATAACCATTCCTATTGATTGCTCTAAAACTGTATATATATTTTAAGCTAGATCTGTTTGAGTAAACCTATTTGCACGTTAAGACTATAATTTTTTTACGCAGAAGCATGCACTATTATATACATATAGACTCTATACCCTTTCATGAATCGCATTGCCCCTCTTGTACTCAGATCAGAATTTCAAATCCATTTTTCAGAGCAATATAACTCAGTGGAGAAGTTCCTGCAGGGTCTTCCTGACGTGCCAGGCTACCTGGCAGGTCAAAGCCAATCGTCATTTAGGCCCATCAAGCTAATCAATCACTATTAGTTTCACCTCGGCTTGCTATATGCATTGTTCCAAAAGCAGCAGAAACAGAAAACTTTTCAGTTGCGAGAATATAAGTCTTGGGACAAGACTGGATTTGCATTATCTCTGCGCCACAAGCAGAAACTGATAATAGTAACGGTAGAGGGCACAGTCCATAATAGATAGAGCGCCCTCCGTGATTTGACTGTGCTTGCTAACACATGTGCACCCGCGCTATGTATATGTGTGCGAGAGAAAAAAAATGCAAATTTGATACAGTCCGAAGCTCAAAATTACGAAGCATTCGTTGGGAGGTCAAAGGTCAGTCATATGAATATATCAAAGGTCGTGGTTAGAAACGTGTCTAATTTCGTATACCTTTTAGGGATAGTCCAACATATTGTATTAGTTCATTCAAGTGAATATATTACGACATGGAACAAAAGAGCTGACCTGAAAGATAGCTGCCATGTAAAACGTCTTAGAATACGCCATTGGGAGTTTCGAGAAAAGCGTCGTAAAATGTGAGTTACGTATACTTAAGCTTCGAGCATCAACGTCGAATTCATTTTGTCAACTTGCCGACAAAATTAAACAAGTCATTGATTTAATTACAGTTGGCCTCGTTATGCACTCGTTTTTATTTTATGTATATTCATGTTTTTCTCTTGTGAAGATTTTATTCATTTTCTTGAAAGTCAAATGCTTATGTAAATAATTATGAGCTTTTTTAAAAGGTTCCAAGGAATTTCACATATGTATACTGTATGTTTTCAACTTGACTTTAAACTTGAATTAAACCCTAAATGTTACTTTGAGGCTTCTACCATTTGTGTGGGTATATACATGTGCTTGCCTTTCCTTGCTTCCAAGATCTTCCATGGGATTTCAAGCTATTCATGGTGACAGACAACTAAGGTGGAGAGCTTGCAGTAGCACCATGCAAGGATACGATCCCTTTTTTGAGTCTGTACAGACTCAAGAAACTCAAACTCAATAGACTCAACAGACTCAAAACCACAAGCTTTCTACCTTAAAGATCTTCCACATTGCTCATTCCACGATCCGCCGCACGACACGGAGAGCACAGGAAGGTCTGGGATATTTGTTTCAGCAGGGACGGGAACAGACTATCGTAATAATGTTAGGACATGCGTTATTCATATCACGTGAGCGATGATCGTTGGAAGTTATGCAAATAACCTTCAACATGCTCGTTCACGAACCACGTTTTCAATCTGAAACAGCTGCCAACATCATGTTTACCATTATCTCAGACACTTCGAGTTAAGCACTCACAAATTTCCTCCTATAGTCTATGATGAGCGGCTATCCGAAAATTTTGAGCCAGTTTCAATGTTTATACCATGTTGCACATTGTCCCCTGCGGTACAGTCACGATATATGATTTCTCTGCTCGCATGAGCAAATTTGGCCCACATTTCGCCCCTTAAACTCGAAATTTACCGCATGAATAGTCAACACATATCTGGCTATAGATTTTTTTTATAAAGTAATCTATTGACAATAACGTAAAGGCAACGATACAACCACCTAAACACATCCTTTTACGGAGAAATGTTCGGCTGAGTGATGTCATAAACTTTTATGATTAAAAGGCTCAAACGAAGCTGTTGATTGGCTGTTGATTTACTTGTTGTTTATTGAGAATATTTCGAGTGTATTTTTTTTCATAGAACAGGAGGTCCTGAATCCCATCTCTTAATATTTTCCTCAACTGACAAACTCCCAGGAATAAATAGCCTGTTTTTCAGTTTGTATACTGTACTCTCTATCATACGCACGCTTTTCAAAATTCCATGTTAATTTAAAGTGCTTCAGTGTGATATAAGTAAAAAATTCTTACCTCTACTATCTAACTCGTGTCTACACTTAGTTCTTAGTATGACTTCGGTGTAAGTATATAGCTCTGCCAACTAACTTACTACGGTGGAACCAGTGTAGTTGAGACTAGTTGATGTATTAGCCAAAACGGGAGTATTTGACGCGATCACTAACTCAAGACAGAATTACAAATTGCTTGTAGCTCAACAGAGTGAAAATCTGTAAGCTCAGAAGGATATATAACCATTCCTATTCTCTCCCCTGCTCTAAAAACGTATATGTATTACGTAAAACACGCCGAGCTCGGTGTGTTTCAGTACACCTATTTGCACGTTGAGACTATAATCTTTTTTTACGCAGAAGCACGGCATGCACCATTTTATAGACTATATACGATAATGATGAAATTTCCTCGTTAATTTGTTCATCTACCATTAGTTACCATTTAGTTACAAATAAATTCAGAACAATATTCATCCCCAGCTTCTGTACAATGTGAATTAAAATTTGAAATAAAAGATTGAATTTTTGTCTGTTCAAGTCGCACAGGTCAGGTGAATTATTCCCCAAATGTAACAATGCAGTTTGATTAAGGCTTAACACCATTTTTTGCGGGGTGCATGGGGGTGGGGTGAGTTTGTGTTCCCCTTCAACTTAGAACCCTGAATGATGGAAGACATGCAGTATTAAGGTCCCCGATTCACAGAGAGTCCTCGGTTGGCAATCGTCCACAAACATGTGAGAGAGTAAGAACAAAAGAAAAACAATGGTGGTTAATGCTGGAAAATACGCACTCTGGGGAGTGTGCGTAAGACTGTTTGTCGTGACACTCAGTAAGGTCAAGGAGAGAGCAGCCTTGACCTGGATTGAGTGTTTGTAGCAGGAGAGGAATTATAGTTACGTACGTGTTGGCCACTCCATGTTCAATGATCCATAGAAAAGAAAATATTGGCTCGAAACAATGCTTAAGGCCAATGCTGTCTAGATCGATGTTTCAATTTTAGTCATGCAACAGGAGGGGGTTCAGGAAGGAGGGGAGCACTGGACGCAGACTCCTTTTTAAAGGGAGATATACCGCTGTTAAATATTATCCCAGTTTATTTTCTATTGTTTCATTAATTGCATTTGCTACCTTAAAAACAGCAATTGTCACTAAAAGATGTTCGGGTTGAACACTGATTAGGGCTTAATACCTCTGTCGTAAAAAAATGTCTCTGCCTTTGTTGAGTGTTTGACCATACTAGACCCGCTACCCTGCACATAGCGGTCACTGCTGAATGATACAGAAACCGATTGGAGTATTTATTGGAAAGTTCATAGGTGAGCGAAGAGGGGCGTTATGTCTATTATAGCCTTTTCGTGGTGACCTGTCCATGAGCTTTCAAAATGGCGGTGACTTGGAATTTTTGTTGTGCATCAGTCCTGGTGGATAATCTCTTCCCTCTTGGCCGCTGTCTTATTCAGACACTGCTTAACTTTGGAAGATTACATGTATCATGCTGTCCCGCAATAATTCTAAAGTTTTGTAGGGGAATGATTCAAAATCAAAACGGCTACCAGTGTAACACATAGTTTTCCAGCTCTAAAATCAGTCCGGCAAGTCGTGTTTTGCTACAATACACTCACGTACAAAAGCACAATGTCCTCGATATCGACAAATCACAACATGTACACTTTGAAGTCATGGTGGATATCTAGGAATCACAACGGAGTGCAGCACGCACGGCAGCGGATTGGGAGTTGGAACACTATCACTACTTCCCGTTCCAGGTGTACTTATTTGCATTCAAAGGACGTCAGTCTAAAGACAATTACTGTAGGGATCGGTGATTAGTCAACTCATGTTACCTTTCCCCCAAACCAGTATACCCAGCAAGATATGGGACTGAGGGGCAACCCCCTACATGTCAGATCCCCATACACATTCCAGGCTATTGTCACCTACATGTAACACATCCCCCCCCCCCATGACTGAAAAGAATTCATGAGATTCCGATCAAACAATGACCAACTTAAAGTGGGGGCGCTCTCCTACCCACAGCTTGCTAT